GTCAGACGCGTGCGCACTGGGAGCCGGGCTCGGCGAGAGCAGCTCTGAAGGCGCCGGACGCGGTGCGGTCGTTTTTATACCTTCCCGCGCGGCCGCCGGCGCCGCCAACGGAAGGGCGGGGCGGCGCGTGATTAGGCGGCGTAGGTGCGAGGGCCCAGGGTGGGCGGGGCTTGGCGCCCCTCTCTGCCCGAGGGTGGGGATGCGGGCGCGCGGGTCCGGGAGAGCTGCCCTCGGGCGACGAACGGCGTGGGCCAGGCCCCCAGCCCGCCTCCCTCGGGCCTGCGGGGGAGCCGCCACCCCGTCTCCCCGCTCACTTCCGCTGGAGACTCCGCGCGGCGTCGTGGCGACTCTGAGAACCAGTGCGCCCTGTGGCGGGCGCAGGTCCGAGCACAGCCCGGCGAGCAGAGCGGCCTGCGGCTCCTGCGCCCGGCGGGCGTGAGCCTCCGCGGACGTGACGCCCGAGAGCGCGGAGCCCCGGCCGTCGGGCGCCTCGCTGCCCACACGCTGCAGCTGCGCAGAATAACGTTAGCCAGTAACCCTCTGCCCTCGCCCGCAGGCCCCGCCGCCATGAAGGTGAAGATCAAGTGCTGGAACGGCGTGGCCACCTGGCTCTGGGTGGCCAACGACGAGAACTGTGGGATCTGCAGGATGGCGTTCAATGGCTGCTGTCCAGACTGTAAGTGTCTCCTGCGCGCCCAGCTCTTACTGACCCATCCCGGCCTCGAAACCCCTGGCTTTCGTCTCCTTTCCAGAAAAGAGCCGGGCAGGTTGGGATCCCGTTCCTGCGGAGATCTGCCAACCCGGCGCCGAGGCCACGCCTGCAATGCCAGAGGCTTGGGAGGCCGAGGCAGGAGGACCGCGACTTCAAAGCCAGCCTCAGCAAAAATGTGGCGCTAAGCAATCCAGTGAGACCCTGTCTCTAAATAAAATAGAACATAGGGCTGGGATGTAGCTGAGTGGTCGAGTGCCCCTGAGTTCGATCCCTGGAACACCATCCCCCCACACCCCACCCCACCCCGAAAAAAATCCGGTCAAAAGCCGGTGTCCTACCTGTGGGCCTTACTCTGAGTCTGAGATAGGAGGATCCCTTGAGCCCAGGAATTGGAGACCAGCAGAGCATGCGTAGCACCAAGAAAGATATGTTTTAGACATTTTGTTGGAAAATTCTCAAACAGTGAAACAGAGAAGGACACCTTTGGGCTGGAGATATTGCTTGGTAGTAGAGCACTTGTCTAGCATGTGCAAGAGAGAGAGACCCTGGGTTCCAACCCCAGTACTTCCCCCAGAAAAAAAGAAGTGTTTTATTTTTTCAGTACTGGGGATTGAACCCAGGGACTCTTTAGCACTGAGCTACAGCCCCGGCCCTTTTTATTTTTTGAGACAGAGTCTCACTAAGTTGCTAAGGCAGGCCTCCAGCTTATGATTCTCCTTCCTCAGCCTCCCAAATCCCTGTGATTACAGGTATGCACTACTGAGCTGGTCATACCTTAAAAAAGGAAAAAAAAATTTCATGGTGGTACTGGGACTGGAACCCAGGCCTTAGACCTGTTATGCAGGCATTCTACCTTTAAACTACATCCCCAGCCTTCATGCTTAAGTCTTTAAAAGTAAACTGTGTGACCTTTTGTTGTTGGGGGCTGGGGTCTTTGGTTTTTGGTATTAGGGATTGGATGCAGGAGTGCGTTATCACCGAGCTACATCCCTAGTCCTTTTTTTTTCTTCCAGCCATTTAACTCAGGGGCACTTGACTACTGAGCCACATCCCCAGCCCTATTCTGTATTTTATTTAGAGACAGGGTCTCACTGAATTGCCAAGATTGTCCTCAAAGTTGGTGACTCTCCTACTTCAGCCTCCCATGTCACTGGGATTATAGGCATGTGCCACCAAGCCTAACCCAAATTTTTATATCTTCCCTGGTTGAAAAGAAATCCCATCATCCAGGAGTTAATGCATTCTCACTTAATCAGATACGTGAAATGTATCTTAAGAAATAAATCATTGATTGGCTGGGTGTGGTGGCACATGCAAGAAAGAAATCACTGATTGATTGTATTTAAATAACTCCTAAAGCCAGGCTTGGTAATGCATGTTTATAATCCCAGCAAATCAGAAGGCTGAAGATTGCAAGTTCAACCTCAGCCACTTAGGCCCTAAGCAACTTAGTGAGATCCTCTCTCAAAACAAAAAGGGCTGGGTGGTTGAGCACCTAGGTTCAATTCCTGATACCAAGAAAAATCTGTGAGACAGGTATAGGCATGTACTGCTGCCTTCTAGCTACTCCAAAGGCTGAAGCAGGAGGGTCTCCAATTGAAGGCCAGCCTAGGCAACTCCTTGAGACCCTGCAAAAAGGAGCTAGGCGTGGTGGCACATGCACACCGGTAATCCCAGCATCATGGGAGACTGAGGTAGGAGGATTTCAAGTTCAAAACCAGCCTCATCAACTTAGCGAGACCTTAAGCACCTCAGGGAGAAATCTCTAAATAAGATATAAAAAGGGGCTGGGGATGTGGCTTTGTGGTTAGGTACTGCTGGGTTCAATCCTGGTGCCAAAAAAATAAGATAGAGAAAACAAAAAGACCTTGGTGTGGCTTAGTGGTAGAGCATTTACTTAACGTGGGAAATAATTCAGAAACATTTTCAGTAACTTTGCCTTTTCTGGTCTCCCCCATAGGCTGGGCATGGGCAGTTGGTCCTGTGGATTGAAGATGGCTGTGGGGTACCCAGACCTGCTAGACCCCTTAGGATGGACCCACACATAGCCTACAGAGCCTGGCCTGCAGCATGCCAGGGGTGTCTTTGGGACACGAAAAGAAGATCTTTGTGGTTGAACATTCAGCATTTCATGCTTGTGCAGTGTGCAGAGTTTTTGTTAAAATGGCCTGTTGGCTGTAGAGAATAGGGAATTCAGTCCAATGCTTGGAGTTAGCGGGATCTGATTTTAATGTACAAAATGTTTGGCAGTCTAATATGCTTTCTGGATAGGTTAACTAGTGCCACATTTCTTTAACAACTGTGAGCAATCCAGAGTGACTAAGGCTATAATAAATCTGCTACACGACCCAGAGGGGCCTGGGTGAAAGCGGTCTTGTTGAGAGGTGTTTTAATTTAAAAAAAAAAAAAAGAAAATATCTCATCAGGACACTAGCAAGCCCTCCCGAGACATCCGCAGGAGGTCCAGCCAGACCTCTGTCATTGGATGCCCAGCAGGCTGCCTACCAGTATCTGGAAGGAAGGGAGTACCTTCCTCCACAGTAACCCTCCTACCAGAGCCAACTGGGTGCCCACAACTGTGGTCTCAGACTCTAACCCTAATTTGAAAGGGGTGATTTCATTGAGAGTTCTGCTAATGATGGAACAGGCACTGTGTGGAGACTGGGAGCAGATGTGACATAGAGCTGGCACCAGAGGGTGGGTTAGAGGCAGTGAGATTTAGCTCCTTGGTGCTAGACTGACTGACTGGGGCAGGACTAGGGAGCATTGCTGTGCTCTGCATAGGTCCTGAGAGATCAGGACAACTTTGATAGTATGAAGTGTCCCTCTCTGCACTATCCTCTCCACAGGAAGCATTTTCAGACCCACAGGTTGGGTGTCTGCATCCTGTTCACCTGACCTTGGAGATGGGGCCCTTTGAAGCTATACGTGGGAAGAAAGCTGGCCCTTAAACACCAGTGTCCCCAGGATGCTTGTAGGTCACCAAATCCCTGAAGTCCAAGGAGAGGATCTTCTAGGTCTCCACCCCTCCTGCTTTGATAAAGAGAGAATAGCTCACTGCTCAGATCAGCTCCTTGGCATCTGACCAGTAATGTTACTTTCTGGTTATCACAGTGAGTCAAGAGTCCACAGATGGTCCCCAAGGCCTGTGAGGTCAGACGTTGTCTCTTTACCCAAACTCTAAAGGTACAGGGTCCTGGTGGTCCAGCCAGACTCCCTCCCCTCTGAGGAGGTTGCTAAGCTCCCCTCTGTTTCACTTGGGGTAGGGGTGGGTGTTGAGAGCCACAGCTGATTAGGGATGGCACATGGCATTTTGCCAGAAGGAGTGGTTGAGAGGATGATGGTAATTAAGTTAAGCTGTGTTTATAATTGCTGTGACTGGATGATGCTGGATTGAAACAGGCTGTGTATTCAGTTGTATATAGACTCCTGCTGTCCAGCAATAGGGCAGCTCCTGCTGCGTGCCCCCCCCCACTTTTGAGTTCTTGGGGAGTTCCCCTTGAGTTCCTGTGGATCCTTGTTGAGGGTGGAGAGAGTTCCCGGGGAGTGCTGGTGGAGTTCCGGCAATAAAGGAGTTCCTGTTTGAACCTATAAGTGGCTCCTGACCTCCCAATTTGGTGCCCAGCCAGGTGGGGCCTCATCTCAAGGCAGACCTTGGTAGGGGAGGGCTATGTGAGAATGAGTCTGGTCATACCCCTGATTTCTGTTTGTTTGGTTTGGTAGCAGGGAGTGAACCCAGGGGTGCTTGACCACTGAGCAACATTCCCCAGCACCCCCCCTTTTGATGTCTATTTAAGAGACAGGGTTTCACTGAATTGCTTAGGGCCTTGTTAAATTGCTGAGGCTGGCTTTGAACTCGTGATCCTCCCGCCTCAGCCTCCCAAGCTGCTGGAATTACAAGCGAGCCTGACCAGATTTTTGTCTTTGAAACATGAGACAGGAGAGGTACTGGCCTGGGGTAGGAGCCACAGCCTATTGTCCTGGGACCCCTTTTGGCTTGCCACATGCTCTGTGTAGCCTGCCTGAGAATGCTGGGCCCTCCCTAATGCTGTCCCATCTTGGCCCTCCTGCAGGTAAGGTGCCTGGCGATGACTGCCCGCTGGTGTGGGGCCAGTGCTCACACTGCTTCCACATGCACTGCATCCTCAAGTGGCTCAACGCGCAGCAGGTGCAACAGCACTGCCCCATGTGCCGGCAGGAGTGGAAGTTCAAGGAATGAGGCACCCACACTGCACCTGGACCCCCTCCCCCACCCCAAGATGGCCTCTGAGTCCCCCTTTTCCTAGTGGGACCCAATGGCTATGGTCTGGAGACAGTCCTTGGCTGTGACAGGGTTGAAATGAGGACTGGAGCCTGTTTGTTGTTTTCCATCACCATGCTGACGCTTTTATTCAATAAATAAAACTCATTAAAGTACCTGAGCCTTGCCAGAGGCTTTGGTTGCCTGGGTCCTGGCACATTGATGAAGCTGCAGTGTTTTGATATGAAAACTCTCATGAATAAACATCTTGATGAAACACCGCTGAAGTCCTCATCAGACCTGAGTCACAGTTCTGGGGAAAGTGCAGAATCATGAAAGAGCCTGGGGCAGGGCATGGCCAAATCAAGGCCCCGGAATTTGTGTGTGCCAAGGGGAGGCACAGCAGCCATGTCCTGTCAGTGGGCTTCTTAATGGCTGTCACCCCAGAACCTTTACTCAGGCCTTGGCAGGAGGAAGATGTCCCTGAGCAAGTTCTGATAGTGTCAGGTGGGCTGCAGATGGCTATGGCATTCTGTTCTCACAGAACCTCGTTCTCTGTTCAAACTGAAGACCAGGTCCAGTGCAGGCTCTCCATGTTGGGATGTCTCCAGGTGTCCTGGAAGGACAGCTCTCGGTAGGCTCCTCTGGTCCCCACAGCCAAGAAAAGGCAGCTACGGAGGGACCAGCAGCCCACTACCGTCCTTCCTGTGCTGTTCTTAGTAGCTTCTGCTACTAGGCACCCGGAACCTGGGCCCAGCGTGAGCCAGTATGGAGCCCCACTCCTGGGAACCAGTTCTGCCCTCGTCCTCTCTGAAGCTCTGAAGCCTCTTCTCATGAGACAGGACCTGTCTGCCAGGGCTCAGCCTCCTCAGGCTAACCTCTGAACCCTCTATTGCCACAAAGCCTCCCTCTTGGCTTCCTTGCCATTTGAGTTCCCACTGAGTCCACCTGGGTCCTTTCCTCCGGGTGGGTCAGCTCCACCCATCTCTGGTCTGCTCACCAGACCTCCCAGAATGTTGAGTTTCTCTGGAGATCACAAACCTAGTAGTCACCCCACTCTGCACATGGGGGCTCCAGTTCCTGCCCTTTGATCCCATTAAAGTCCTCATCAAACCCTGTAGCGTTCCCCCCCTTAGCCTCCCGTTCCAGGAAGCCACAGAAACTCCTGTGGGAGGGCTGGGGATGTGGCTCAAGCGGTAGCGCGCTCGCCTGGCACGCGTGCGGCCGGGGTTCGATTCTCAGCACCACATACCAACAAAGATGTTGTGTCCGCCGAGAACTAAAAAATATTAAAAATTCTATCACTCTCTCTCCTCTCTCTCACTCTCTCTTAAAAAAAAAGAAAAAAGAAACTCCTGTGGGAGGGTCACCCCACTGGTCTCTGCAGACTCTTCCCAAGCATCCTCTTACCTCCCTGGGAAGACCCCTTCCTTACTCCCACCTGTCCTAGGCAGGGACTGAGCCCTGTTTGTGGCCTTGGCCCTGGCATGCAGGAAGTGTTCAGTATGTCTTATTTCTGGGCCGTCTCCTGTGTGCTCAGTATTGGCCGAAGGAATGCAGGGAAGGCTCCAGGTGGAAGTATCTCGGAGACCACCATACAGGGTCAGAGCTGGGCAGGGAGCGGCCTGGGGTCTGCAGTCTCTTAGTCTGGCCTTCCCAAAGTTGGGTCCTGGCCTTGCTACCCTCCTCTTCCTATAGGATCCAGCCAGTAACAGAACCTTCCACCATGGGCATGAACCAGACCATGGCCCCCATGCTTTACCCAGGGACTTTGATGCCTATGGTCAAGAGTTTTCAGTTCCCCTTTAGGGAGGGAGAATCTGTCCCTTGAGTACTGTGCAGGTAGAGTCTCGGGAGTGCTGGGGACTGGGTCGGGGGTGGCTCCTTGGGCTATTTGGGGGTCTAGTGTGTCAGTCCAGGCTGGATGGGTCAGTGGGAGGGTCTGTGCGCCTCAGCATGATGCTGCGTGGGCCTCACCCGCACCTCCTGCGTGCCCTATGCCTGCGGGGCGCTGACGGGTCCCCTCCCGCCCCGCCCCCGCCCTGTCACCGCAGTAGATATAAGGCGGCCAAGCTCTGGGGCTCCACCTGGACGCTCCCCAGCCCTCCCACTGCCTGCGTCCTCATGGCCCGGCACGCGACGCTGGTGGCCGTGGCCCTGGCGCTGCTCTTGCTGCTGGCTCCACGGGGCCTCGCGTGGTACAAGCCGGCGGCCGGGCCCAGCCATTACTCGGTGGGCCGCGCCGCGGGACTACTGTCCGGCTTCCGCGGATCCCCGTTTGCGAGGCGCTCGGAGCTCGCCGTCGGGACAGGCCTCCAGCGCCGCGCCGGCGCCTCCTCGGAGCTGCGGCCCAGCCTGCGGAGCCTCGTGAGTGCGCGCAGGAGGGCGGCGGGGGCCGGTGGGTGTGGGCAGCCCCCTCAGCCTCCACCGCCCACCCAGGCCGTGTGCGTCAAGGACGTCACCCCGAACCTGCAGAGCTGCCAGCGGCTCCCTGACGGCGGTGGCAGTGGCGGGACCTTCCAGTGCAAGGCGGATGTCTTCCTGTCGCTGCGCGCCTCCGACTGTCATCGCACCTGAGCCCCCCCGCCCCGCCCCAAAATACCAACCTCGTTGGCCAGGTGGGTGCCCCCAACGCCCACTGCCAGCTCAGGGACCCCCAGACCTGCCTCGCGGGACGGCATCCCTGACCCTCCCTCCCCGGCCCCGTGCAGTATTCCGCCAAATGAATAAAGGAGAAGCTCCGTCAAGTCTTCAGAGGGGGAGTGCTGGAGGGGTGGGCCTCGAGCAGGGCGGGGCCCCGAAGTCACCCAAACTAGCGGCCGCCTGGCCAGTAAAACCAGGGTTCCTGCTAGGGTGCCCCACTCCTCTGGTCAAGCTGGCTCCCCTCACCCTTCGCACACTCAAGGGTTCTGGGTCTTCCCCTAGAGCATGAGCTGGGACCTTTGGCTGCTTCCCTCTTGTTCCACTCCTGGCAGGGCTGACAGAAGGCCCAGAGTTCTGCGGTCTGCCTCTCAGGGTGTCCCCATTGTGCCCTTGCGAGCTGGACCTGCCAGCCCTCCACCCAGGGATTCCATGAGTAGCAGGTGAGCAGGGAGTCTCCTCTGGCTGGACGATGTGTCTTTGGGGTGCTGGGCCCAGGCTCTACTTGCTGCTGGTGCAGATCAGTCCCCAGCCTCTGCTCCAGGGTGCAAGCAGCAGCATACTCTAGGTGCTGGCCTGTCCTCTGCCCAGCCCAGCAGCCAGGCCCTATCAGATCTAGCCTGCAGGCACTGCCTGGCCTCTCTGCTCAGGAATCCCACAGCTCAGGGGTCTGAAAATGAGCACCACCCCACTTCTGAAACTGGGGGCACAGAGGGAAAGTGGGTGAGGCTTCTGTTGGGATTGTAAAGCAGACCTCAAAATCAGCTGGATTAAAAGGAAAGGGCAGGCCCATCTTCCTCAGAGGAACCTGCTCCTTTCCACCTGGTTCAGCAGCTCAACGTGGGAGGGCGCTGGGCTGGAAAGCACCTTCATATTCTTCTTTCTGCAGAACTGGGAATGAGCCCAGGGACGAATGCACCCTAGGTAGGGCCTTGCTGTACCACTGAGCCACACCTATAGCCCTAATTCCCGCATCTGTATTCAACAGACATGCCAAATCATTGCCTCCCAGCCCCATTGGTAGGCAGCCCCAAGGCTCTGCGGCCTTCCTGGTCTTGCCACTCCAGAAGCCCTGTGGTGGGTGGGTGAGCTGGGGGCAGACACAGCACTTCCCAGCAGGCTTTATTCAGCTGCACCAGAGATGTACAAATCAAGACCAGGAAGTCTGTTGGGAGGACAGCAGGACAAGTGCACCTTCCTGGAGCCAGGCACAGGGTGCTGGGATGAGCTGCAGGGCACAGGGTGCACAATGGGGAGTGACCCCAGGAACGCAGCTCCCCAGAGCCATTCACTCTGTGCCTTCCACAAAGCTGGATAAGCAGGAAGTGCAGCCTCCAGCCAGGCAGGAGGGTCATCTCTCTCCGAGATGGGGGAGGAGCAGCAGTTAGAAACCACTGGATGGAAGCACACAGGAGCAACAGCCTTCATATCACTGGTCCTCTCTGCCCATCCTGCCTGCTGGGCTGCTCCACTGCTGGATGCCTTCTCTGAGCAGGAGGAGCTGAGAGCCCACTACAAACAGGCACCTTGCAGGCAGGCAAGAGTAGTGCCCTCCCCACCAGCCCTGCTGGAGCCAGGCCACTTAGTGGATGGTGCTGCAGCTTCCTTTAGAATTGCGTGAGCCAAACTCTTAAGACAAGCAGAGCGGGGGGGCAGGCGGCGGCATGGGGGCTCTCCGTGACAGTCCTCCAGTCGGAAGTCTAGTCGCCCTCCCCCACAGGCTGTATCTCCTGCTGCCTTGTGGCCTCCAGGAAGGCCAGCTCCTTGGCTTCTTTCTTCTGGTTTCGTGCCTCATACTCTAACCTGGGGGCCAGGCTATGGTGAGCTGCGCCAGGGAATCTTCCCTCTGCTAGCAGCTGCTTGGTACCCCCAAGGGGCCCTGGGGATACCTGTTTTTAATGATCCTCTGCACAATGAGGTCCGTAGTGAGGTCACTGCCACTGTCAATCTGATAGAAGATGCCTCTCCTCTTGGGTTCCTGGAAGCCTCAAGGAGAGAGAGATGAGTTCCCTCCTGACCACAGAAACTAGCTGTCCCTGCCCTGCCCCAGAGGGAGACTAGCACAGGGCCAGGAGAGCAATCACTGGCGCTCATTAGCAACCTGCCTCCCTGTCCCCTGGAGCCACACGGCAGCAAGGATCTCTGTGCCATCCCAGAGGCAGGTGAAGCCTCGGGGAGCTGCATCAGGGAGCAGTGAAACCCACCTGGTAGGGATCAGAGCCGTCCCTGTCAGGCACGATTTCTGTCTTCCCATGACATACAAGGTCCACCTGGGAAGGGAGCAGGGGTCAGCCCAGGTGCCTCTCTGGGAGCCACAGCAGCACCAAGTACCTACCCCATGAGAAGCCTCACCTTGAAGTGACCCAGGAGCTCTGCTGTGACCGCATATGGGGCCCCAATCACCACTTCTGACACATACTGTGGGGACAAGGAGCAGAGTAGCTTGGGTCAAGGAGTAGTAGCAGAGGTCCCCAATCCTGGCAGGCAGGATTGGAGAATGGTAGGAGATGGCCCTAGATGCAGGGCTGAGGTTGCAGGTGAGCGAGCAGAGACAGGCAGGGCTGGGGCTGGCTGGCCAGGGAGCCCACGGCGTCCTACCTCCTGGGCCTCTTGGGTTCCTTAGTTGGGGAGAAACACCACCAAGGAGGCCAGACCACCTTACCAGGTGGGATGGACAGGCACCCACACCCTGGCTCAGGGAAGCCTTTGGAGGGAGAGGCCAGGGCATGTTCCCCTCCGGGCTGGCCCCTGGCCTGTGCTCACCCGGCAGGCCAGCACACTCAAGGTCCGCTCGTGCAGGTTCATGATGGGGTAGTTCTTCCCCTTGTAGCGATTGACCTCCTAAGGGCAGAGCAAGGTCAGCTCAGCTTCAGGGCCTCATGTGGACCGGGTGTTAGCCCTCCCAGTGATCCCTTATGGGCAGAAGTTAGGAGAGGAGCCAGGCAGAACGGTTCTGGACCCCAGAAGAGACCCAAGCTCACCCACCCAGGAGGTCTCTTTTGCTTTCAAAAGGCACTTGAAGCCTCGTTCCTCCACAGGCCACTTGTGCCCAACGTCCACCCTGGAGCCCCACCAGGGCCTCATGGCCCGTCAGTTGTCTGGGTCTGGGGAACAAGGAGGCAGGGCAGAGACCTGGTCAAAGTGCAGGCCGGCGATGACGTAGGGCCTGTCAGCTAGCCTGTACACCTTCTCGAGAAAGTCCACGTGCCCAATATCTGTACACAGGTCAAGAGGCAACAACAGGCAAGAGGGCAGAGAGCTCCCGCCCCCCAGGGAGTTGGCTCAGCACCTCACCACTCTTTCTCCCTGCCAGGCTGCTCTCCCCGCACCCCAGCCCAGTCCCAGGGCCTTGAGGGGCCTGTGGCCCAGGTTCCCCTTCCGTGGTGTGGGCGTGGCACCACAGAGGTTCCGGGAGGATACGGAACAGGTCGAAGGCACCAGCCACATAGATGACCGTCTCCCCTGGCTGGGGCTCCTTCCCAGAAGCAAACTGGATGATCTTCTGGGACGTCTGTAGGAACTGGGACACCCCTGTCCAGGGATTGCGCCCCCCAGGACACTGTCAGCCAAAAGAGGAAGCTGGTCAGCAGCGGAGGCCTCTCAGGCATGTCCCTCGTCCGGCTCCTTCCTGGGACCACTCTTCTGGGTATAGGGCTGCCTGTACCCCTGTCTGTCATGGTGGGGACTGGGGAGCAGACGCAGTGGGCACTATGGGTCAGGACGTCACACCCCCACTGCAGCAGGCCACAACCCAGAGGCCCACTGGGTCTGTTTCCAGGCAGGTACCTGGAACAGGGCAGGAGCAGGGACACCACCACCAGTCCAGGCAAGGCCACTGCCACTGGCAAGGCTGTGGTTCTGCCTAATGGCCACAGCAGGTACTGCAACTAACACCAGCTCCACTTGGTGGACTCACCACCATGAGGTATAGAACCTAGTGGCCTGTGGACACAGCCCTCTGGGAACCCAGCACCCTGAGGCCACCATCTGGTCACCTGGGAGGAGCCTTCTGAGGAAAGTATGTCCCCGGCAGGTGTCGGGTGAGGGGGCTACAAAGGGAGAGAGGGGCAGGCCATTTGGTTAGAGGCCACCTGTCAGTTCCAGGCAGGGAGGGAGGAGAGCTGGTCTTTCTCTAAAGAGAGGCCCCAGGGGAGTGTGGGTGGTGGAGGAGGGGCAGCCAAGCACTGGTGCACTCCAGGTGGCCTGAGTGGCCAGAGCTCACTCACCTTGCCAAAGCTGTCTGCGTACTCCCTGTACTCGGAGGACATCTCCTGTGCAGGAGGGACAGCCGCTGAGGGTCTCACCCTCCAGACTTGCCAACCCAGGACTGCATGGCTTGTGGCTCCCCCACCAGAGGAGAGGTTGGGGAGGAGAAAGATGGGGAAGGGCGGTTGTCCACAACCCAGGGAACCAGGGACCCTGCCCCATCCGGCACTCACCTGGCTGCTATGATGGGCCTTGGTCACAAGCAGCATGCGGCCCACGAGGTCTGTGGTAGAAACGCCCTGGGTGCGTTTGCACTCTCTGGGGAGACCAAAGGGAGTATGGGGGGGTTCCTGTCCTGGACCCCTTCATTAGGCTCCACCTACAGTGGACCCCACCTGAGGGACATGACCTTAACCCTGCCTGTGTACCTCTCTGCACTGACCACAACAGAACACAGAACTGGAGCATGGGGAAGAGCCCCGTACTGAGATCAGCTACGGAGAAGCAGGAGCAGAGCAGAAGATCACTAAGGCCCACTCCTGCAGTGCTGGGAGCTGGGAGCAGGCAGGGAAGACTCAGGGTGGTCCCCATTCTGCATCAGGCCCCCAGCCTCCCTCACACCCAGGTCCTGCCTGACCATGCCCTCTCTGCCAAGGGAATTCCAGCTTGCCCCATTTCTTGCAGGAGCCACTGGCCACAACTAGGTCTTTAAAGTAATTAAAAGCCAGCTCCCAAAGGGCACAAGTCCCATAAGGCACTCACCAGCTGTGCTCGGCGGTGGTGGCCGTGCTCACAGCTCTGATCAAGAACCTGGCCATCCCTGCTAAGCTCTGCCTGTAACACTTCTCTGAAGCCCTGGAATTGCCATGAAGTCAGGGCCACAACAAGGCTCCCCTTCCTGTGTCCCCAGTCTTGGCCAGAAGCCCAGACACTCTTCTCAGAGGAGGCCACAAAGCGGCCAAGAATGAGCTGGAAGGAACCCTTGCACTTGGTGCCCTGACTGGTAGGCCACCTGGGGACTTACCTGTACCTCCCAGCCTGTTTCACTTCCTCGTAGGTGTCACGGCCATCTACAGTCAGTGTGATGTCATCTAGAGAGTGACATGCACACCAAGACAAGGAGGCTCAGCCTAGAGCCAGCACCCAGCTCCCCTCTCAGTCCCCAGCCTGTCCCAGTATCTGTGCACTTATTTCTGGGGAGGGAGCAGAGCTTTCCTGGAGCCCACAGGGAGGAGGCCCACCATCGCCAGGTACCACCCGGGACCTGAGCGCAGCCCCAGGCCCTCCCACTCACTGCCGTGCACACAGAAGTCGCAGTTGTACTTGTCGAGCGTCTCCAGGGTGGTGACATAGGGAGCCGCCGGCACCACCTCGTCCACCCACTTGATGGCCTGCACCATTTTGTATCTCTCTTCCTGGGTGAACACCGGAGGCCCTTTGTGCTTGGCGATCTCCTCTATGACCACAAGAAAAGACAAGGATGAGAGAGGTGACCTCCAGCCCCCTAGGCTCCTTCCTCAGGAGCCGCCCTGTCCTGTACTTATCGTGGGGTGTAGTAGGGAGCCTGCCTCTCACTGGGTGCTCAGGCCACGGGGCAAGACCACCGCTGTGCTCTGGCCAGCAAAATGGATCAGAGCATCTGCTGGGTAACAGGACAGCCCCTCAGTCTAGGCGCTCAGGAGCCAGGACAGGGCTGGAGGGGATGGGCTGCACAGCCAAGGAGCCCGTCATGAATGCCACCGGCCTGTTCTCTATAGCCGGGGCCTTCCTCAGTCAGGCAAAGCTGGGTTGAGCTTGCCAAGCTCACTCACAGCCCAGCTCTGGGAAGGATGTGTGGACCTGCCCTACCTGACCCAGGGTCCCACAGGCTTTCCTTCAGTCAGAGAAGACCCTGTCCGACTGTGGGTGGCGTGGGCCAGCAGCCTGCACCTTACCATCGGTGTGAACGCCCACAATCAGGTAATCTCCCATGGCTCGTGCCTGGCGCAGCTGGTTGGAATGGCCATAATGCACCATGTCATAGCTGTGGGGACAGACAGGGCAGTCAGGCCCTATGTCAAGGAAGGTAGGTGGTAAGGGGCATTGTGGGGCACAGCTTTGATCCTTCCAGAATTCATTAGACAGCTCTCTTGAGAAAACACCGTGGGAAACTGCTACCTAGGATCTATCCAGAAGCAGAATTTCGGCAGTGAGGTGGGCACTAAGATGTCCACCCCCCAAGATCCTGGGCCAGAGGTCAGGACCTATCAGTATCAGGACTAGCAAGGATGGTGCACCCAGGGACAGGCCTGGAGGAGAGCAAGGCTGAGGAGCTCCCAGGACACTCTCCCACTGGTGGCTGTGGTCACTGCTCAGGCCTCAGGTGGTCTCTGCACTTGTCTCCTTCTTTCACTAAATACAACGTGCTGTGGGGAGTCACTTTAAACTTTAAAACAAACATTGTGGGTTGGGTCTGGATCCTATTCTATCTTGAGGTCCCTGGGGTCAACACAAAACCAAAACTCCAACCAAAGAAGCCTGGGAATCACTGGTTTTGAAAATTTTGGTTCCTCCCTCACTGCCTGGCTTAGTGAAAAACAGCCTGTGTCACTTGGTTCTCCAGCTCTTATCCTCAAATCCGAGTCTAGCTATGAGTGCATTCTCCAGTTCAAGGCTCCTCAGCCCCTGCAATGTGCTGGGCCCCAGGTGCTCCTGCACACTTTGGGAACAGCCCCGGAAATCCTCTGTGGGCCAATGCTGGGCCCTGGGTTGCCTCTACTTCCCTCCAGAGATCCCCATCCCCTGTGAGGTGTGATCAGGCGACCTGGAGCAGCCCCCCCTCCCCTCTCAGAACAGCCATTTACCACTCTCACCACAGTGCAGGGGGTCCCAGCAGACAAACTGGGTGGGGTTACAGGATTCAGGTCAACTTCATCCAGCCATGTGCCCTCTGCACAGGATGGTTGGGAGGAGGGGTCAGATTGGGGGAACACACGGAGGAAAGAGTGACACTGAATCCTAGCTACTGCGGCCTGTGGCCTGATTGGGGTGGGCCCCTGGCCAGGGCCAAGGTCAGAGTTCCCAAGGTGACTCAGGTGCAAGAGACAAGGTTCTGCCCGCTCCCTTTTAGCCTTCTCAGGAGCTATGGGCTGACTAGCCAAGGTCCTTCCCCACTCCATCAGGTGCAGGCCTGTGAAATCACTGAGGACAGCAAGCTATCAGAAAGGTCAACTTTCCTTCTACTTGTTGACAGCCCCAAAGTTTCTTCAAAACAATGACCTCCTCTAAATTGCCAGACAAGCCCATGGCATTCCTGACCCACCGCGGGCTGGGAGCCTGTGTGCTCCATAGCGCCTAGGACGACCTGGCAGTCCCCAGTGTGCGCCCGAGGGGCGCATCTCCAGTTTTCCGGAAGGACACTGCCGGCTGCATCAGCGTCTGCACATTTCGCGCCTAACCTCGAAGTGATGGGACGTCGGCTGGCCTCGCGCAGCCGGGAGCGACAGAGCCCCGGGAGGCTCCAAGCCCAAGCCGGCAGGCGTCTCTGGGAGCCCAGGGAGACATCAGGGAAACCCTGGAGTAGGCCCCCGCGACCCGACTGGGGTTGGTGGCACACCGAAGGGCGCGACCGCAGGCGCGGGCCGGCCCCCGGGCAACTGCCGGCGCGGACCCGGGAGGAGACTGCTGGCCGCCCGTCCCCGCCCCGCTCACCAGCCGTCGCACCACACCCGCACCGCGCGCCTGCCCGCTGGACTCGGCCGCTCCGCGCCGCCCGCCGCCCCGTGCCCGTTACGGATCATGGCCCCGCAGCGGCGGTGCGGTCCCGCAGCTCCGGTGACTCCGAGCGTCGCCGCCCCGCCCCGCCCCGCGCGCGGCGTCACGCGGGCCTCACCCGCGGCGCATGGCCAATGGCAGGAGCCGCCAACACCGGGCTCCGCCCTCAGGCCCCGCCCACCACCCAGCAGCACTTGGCCAATGGAGAGCACCCCCTGGCCCCGCCCCCCAGCAAGCAGCCAATGACCAGCATCTCCGAGCCTGACCGCCCCTCCGCCCACCAGCGCAGCCAATGGCAATAGCCACCCCCGCCCTCCGGCCACATTAGCTTCTGTGACTCGCCGCACACCTGGCAGAAAGGACTGGCTGGTACCGCGCGCGGGTGCTTCCGCCACCGCCTCAGTACAACAGTGGCGGAGTTTTCAAGCAACCTCTGCGCCCAGGAGCCGGCTCGCGGCCGCTCGGTACTGAGCAAAACAGCAGACATCGGGACACGGACACGAACACAGTGCAGAAATGTTTAATAAAGGTCTGCTCCGAGCCAAGGCTCAGAACCGCCCCTTTGCCGCATACCCAACAGAGATCTCTATAAAGTCAGCTTTTTAGTAAGGAGTAGAAACTGGGGAGGCCCTGAGAGTAGCCTGGTGAGTGAGGTAAGGCAGCCATGGGCTCCTCTGCCGACCAGGCTGGGATGGACCCAGCTCTGTCCTCCCAGAAAGGCCTGCTGCCACCTCTTGTATAGAGAGGGGATGTCCTGGATGGTCAAGCCCATAATGGGGGCAACTGTGCAGTGCAAGGGGGCTTCCCACAAGGACAGACAAATGGCTAAAAAACGTCAAGGTGACCTGTCACCCCCAGTTCTTCCCACTAGACCCTTTGGGGGCAACCTGGCCTTGACTGTGACACTGGCCCCTGAACAAGAGTTCCAGCCATCTGCAAAGTGCCAATTATCTTCATCAACACCAGGTTATGTGGCTTTCTTCCTTTTTGCACGTTTGGCACAGCCCCTGCCAAACCAGCCCCCTAGGATGGGGCCTGAGGTAAGTGGGGCACCCCGGTCCCCAGGCGGGGCCTCCTCTCTGCTTCGGCACAATGACTTCCGACTGTGGCTGCCTTCTTCACCAGCTCGAAGGGGAGTCGCCAGGGAGAAGATTGGGTCCTGCCACCTACCAAGAAAGGAAGGCTGCATCAGGCAGGTCTGCACCCTCTCAGTGCAACCCACCCCAGCACAGGGAAGCTGCCTGAGGTCACCTGCCTTCCCTCCCCATCCCTTGTCTTTTAACCATGGCTGGGCTTTGGTTGGTGGTAGCTGCATCCTCACCAAGCTACAGAAGAGCTGCAGGAGAGGAAATCTCCTTGGGTGGCAACTCAAAGGCCAGCACCCACCCCAGCTGGCCTCCTTGGAACTCAAGTGTCTCATCCACAATTAGTGGGCTGTGCTCACACAGGGTAGGATGGCAACAGCCCTTGGGGGGGGGGGTTGTGTCTCCAGGGATGGTCACTAGCAACGCTGGGCCCCACCTTTCTTTTGTTCAGCCAGGGGCAGGTGGACCAGACCCTCTTCCCCTTCCCAGACTGCACGACGGGGATGAGAAGGATGGCCAGCTGACTGGGGAGGAGCGGCCCACAGACTACATCGTGAAGAAATCATGTGTCTGACTGAGATGTAGAACCACATGTTATAAACGTAAGGTACATATAAGCACTGATAAAGAAAATGAGCTAAGTTAATGTAAAAAAAAAAAAAAAATACAGGACACAATAGGCCCACGTCACAGAACACCACAAACATAACATACAAGAATTGCCAGGCCCAGAGGTGAAGGGATCCTTAATTTCTTGAACCCTTTGATTAAAAGAAGTTACTGATTTCCCCTATAAGACCCTGAAAATTCACAGAGAAAGAAAGTGTAAACTTTTTACTCAACACATACACCAAATCTAAATTATCACAAATTCCGCATTAAGGCACAGGTTAAGCTTCCCCCAAATATACCAACTCCCAAAACCAAGGACAATAAGATTCCGTTTGACTGGAGTAGCCAAGTCCTCATCCCCTCCAGGCCCCTTTCCATTCAGGTTTGTCTGAGAGGTCAACAAGGAAAGGTCAAATAGAACGAATTGGCTGATGCCCTCTCCCTGCAAGGGATACTGGGCACCACACCAGCCAGAGAGAAGTATACACGTGAAGTCTTGCCACCTTGGCAAACCAAGGCCAGTCGCTGTGGAGGACACCTGCTTCAGACCACTTCATAGAGTGCTCACAACACCTCAGAGCTTCCTCCACGCTCGGCTCACAGGAGCAGACAGACACGGCCCACCAAGGAGGGGAGGAGACAGGGCTGACCCAGCTTGCCCACTCACCTGTTGTAGAGGGGGATCTCTAGGCCCAGCTCGTCCATGAGGAGCTGCATGACATCATCACATTTCCCATGAAGCTTCAAGGCAGCCCAGTCATCCTTCGGGGTCCACTGAAGACAGGAAAAGCAAGTGAGGCAGGGTGCAGTGGCACACTACTATAATCCCATCAACTTGGGAGGTGGAGGCAGGGGATTACAAATTTGAGGCCACTCTGGGCAACCTTAGCAAGACCCTCAACAATTTACGGAGGCCTTGCCTCAAGATATAAAATAAAAAAGGGTGGGGATGTAGCTCAGTGATAAAGTGCCCCTGGATTCAATCCCCAGTACTAAACACAACAAAACAAAACCAATCAAGAAGTCCCTATTACTTCCTATCCTGTAGCCTTGAACTCCGCAGGGCCAGTCAGCACTGGGTGAGCACTCAGTCAGCACTCCCCAGGTGACCACCCAGGCTTGTACTACACCTCCTGATATATGGATGTGAGATGTCTTTCTGGCTTTTCAGATCAAAGAAATTAGCTCTGAGCACCCAAGTTACCTGCAGGTTCACAATGTAGAGCTTGGGCCGCCGGCTGGGGGGCTTGGTCATGCACCAGAGGCGAGGATACTTCTTTAGAACCTTTGAGAATAGCACACACATGTGAAGAGCCAGGCTGGAGAAACAGAGTCCAGTGCACATAAGGCAGGTAGGCTCATTGCCAATTGGGTTTACTACGTTGTTGTCACATACCTTCAAGCTGGACCCTAAACACAAGATCGTGTCTGCTTTGCTTGCAGCCTCTGTTGCGGCCTCCCAGTTCAGAGGCTGCCCCAAAGTTCCCCTCTCTCCAAAGTGCACAATGGTATCCCGGAGCTGAGCCCCACACTTGTGGCAGGTCCGGCCTGTCTGGTGTCGGTGGAGAGCAGTGCGTTCTGTCACATCAAATACACGCACATACTCCCTGTTGGGGATGCAGGAGGTGCAGACCTGAGGACAAGAAGGCACAGTGAGTGGGACCTGCCTGCCACCCAGGCCCTGTGTCCCCGCAGGACTGCTCACTTCAATGTACATGTTCCCGTGGAGCTCTGAGATGGCGGTGCGTGGCAGCCCACTTCGCAGATGGAGCCCGTCACAATTTTGAGACACCACGTGCTGTACCTGGAAGGCAGGACATGGTGGCAGTCAGCACGGAAATGGAGGAAACATCCTACAATGGTGAAACCCTTCTTAGCCCAGCCTGACCAAGAGCTCCTAAGACCTGGTACAACTATGACCCTACAGAAAGCCTCGGAAGATGCATACCACCAGGACTTGGTAGGGCCCCATCACTGGGAGGAACTGTGTTCTCCTGCTACCAGCTCTGACACACCCAGAGCAGCTGGGAAGGCAAGCATCTATGTTGTCCCTATAAGACTGGGAAGTGACTTAAGGCTCTGGGTGCAGGTATGACCACTCTGCTCCAGACAGATGCCCTCTTGGATCATCTATTTCAGGTCCCTGAGGACGCAGAAAGATATCCCCCTTTTCCACTAGGTTGAAGGTGCTCATCAGAGGGTCTGAAGACATTTCTGACAAGCTAACCTGTGGCTAAGGAGGCTTCCAAGGCACCTGGAGCAATGCAGAAGAATCTGGAGACACTCTAAGCTGGCCCTGGAGAGAACAGTACAGGGCAGGGGATACCCTTTCTTCTGGAAGAGGAAACTCCACAGGATCAAACAGGAGTCTGACCTGCTGGGGCTGCTCATCATCATAGGGTCAATTGGCAGAGGTGGGATGCAGCTGCCCACTTGGGTACTAAGGTTACGGCTCTGGGTCCCAGGCCTGGCCCTGGGTGTGTATGCCAGTCAGTGTGCTCTTACCAGCTTTTGTTCATGTAAACAAGCAATACTCATGTGGGTGAGCGTAGGCTCTGCTTCACTCAGGTCGGTAGCACTGTTGGGCAGAAGGAAAAGCGGAGATAAGGGAGCCGCAGGCCAGGACATTAGGCCCTTGCTCAACCATGGGAGAAGGCTCACCTCACATTTCTCCCTTTCTGAAGCAGTGTCCACACACCATTAGGGCCCCGGTAATCTGGGATAGAGGCTGCCTGCACAAAAAGCCCAAGGAAAAGTCATCACTGTGTGTATCTGCAGAATTCTCCAAATGGGACATGCCACATTGCAGGCTGACCCACAGACTGGCCTCTGTTACTTCCATAACTATCTGCCCGACGCCAGGTAAAGTGTGTCCCAATGCAGCTCCTTCCCTCCATCTGTACTTCCTCTTCCTGCCAAGCCCAGCTCAACCATCCAGGCTCCATGGAGATTTGTCCTTCTGTGGGAGGTTCTCCAGCTGAGTGCAAGGCTTAGATCTGTGGCCATGTCTATTCACCACAATGAGTAGAAAACTGATCAGGTTCATCTGTGTTTTCAGAGCCTGCTAAAGAAATACTTAGCAATGGCAAGCCACTGGGTGGGAGCACTCCTCTGTCCAAATTATTTTATCCTGACACTGAATAATTACTACTGTACCTCAACACACAGAGGCCAACCTCTCCAGATAAGATAAACATCCAATTTTCCAAATTTCATTTATTTTCTTTTTAAAGCACCAGGGACTGAACCCAGGTATGCTCCACTATTGAGCCCTTTTAATTTTTTGAGACAGGTTGTCACTTAGTTGCCAGCTGGCCTCAAACTTGTGATCCTCCTGCCTCAGCCTCCTAAGCCTCTGGGATTACAGGCATGTACCACCACACACTGCTTAATTTTCCAAACTTTTGGTCCAGTGAAATAAACGAATCCTAAAAAGAAAGCAGAAAGCAAACAGGATCCAAGTATCTTGTGCTCCTCTCTGGGGAAGCCCTGTCTCCTCACTGTTGTTTAATCTCAAGACAAATGCCCACTCTGTCACATTTCAAAAGGAGAACAGAGCTGGGAATGGTGGCATACACTTGTAATCCCAGCAGCTAGAAAGAGGCTTGTAATACTTGAGTATTCCAAGTTTGAGGCCAGCCTCAGGAACTTAGCAAGGCCCGTCTCAGAATAAAAATAGAAACAGTTGGGGATTTGGGTCAGTGGTTAAGCACCCCTGGATTCAATCCCTTGTATAAAAACAAAACAACAACAACAAAAAAATCAGTAGTATATTCAATGTTATTCAAACAATAACAGACAAAATTAGCTCCATGTGGCTTTTAGTTGTCATTAGATTTTATAAAAGGTGACAGCACTGTCCCTCAATAATCCCAACTGGATTTTTAGGCATGGCTGTGAAGGAGGGGGCCCCAGATGCTTGGGCTCTAGGTATTTACAAGTTAAGGCAGCAAACTCACCTTGCACATTCTTGCTATTGAACCTCTGCTGTTTTATGTTTGGAGTGCCTCATGCCCGCTTCACCTGTAAATCTTCCTCCTTTCATGGCCCTAATTCAATACCTCCTGCAGCAAGCCCATCAGGATGGATGCCCCAGTTTTGAGTATTGAGGGTGTGTCTGGATTTCTGGGATAGCAACCCCAGTCAGCATTCTGTTTATTTGTTTACATGGCTGATTACTGTCACCTAACCTCCTCAGAGTAGAAATCACTGGGGGTCCACTTCTGCTGGGCTTACACATACCTAAAACTTCACACTCCTTGATCAGACTGCGTTTAAATGATCTGTGAGTCACACTTTCAAAGCTAGCCCTGTTCCACAGTCCAGGATAGCTCATCAAACTTCTCAAAACCCAGTACATTTCTTTTCTTTGCCCATATATTCTGATTATTACCGGGTTGCTTTCTATTTTTCTTTTCTATTTTTCTTCCTTACAAGCTGGGGAAAGCACAATGAGCAGAATATCAGGACACTGAACGGATAACCTGGGTCCATCCATTAACGCCGATAACTTCAAGAGGGGTTGCCAGAAGGAAGTTGGCTTCTACACCTATTTCCGTCTGTTTATTTTTAGTGTTTGTAAGAGATCAAGCGTTTTTTGTTTTTATTTAACCTTACTTTATTTATATGCAGCGCTGAGGATGGACCCAGGACCTCACATATGGTAGGCGAGCTCAACCACTGAGCCCAACCACTGAGCCACAACCCCAGCCCAGATCAAGCGTTTTTGAAGTCTGCCTTAGTTAACTTGTATATCAAGTCGTTTCGTGAATGGAGAAATGGAGACCTTACAGCTGCTTTAAAGGTGAAATTTGTCTTTGCGACTGGGTGGTGACCTAACTCTACACTGCACTGTTCCGGGTCCGTCGCCCAGACGGGGGCGCCCACACCCGCCCGGCCCGCCCTGGTCCCTACCGTGCTGATGCCCGCGCCGGTGTAGACCACTAAGTATTTGGCATTGCGGACGGCGCCGGCCAACTCCTGGACCTTCCTCCGCAGCTCCTCTGGGTCGTCGCACACCTGCCGAGAGCC